GAAGAGCAGTTCCATTTGTATAATTCCGTATAAAAAATCAGCAGATCTTTGCATTTTAAATGTTGTCTGCACAGCCTCTCCATGGGGGTGAGTGTAGCTTCCCTTTGATGGAACAAGTGTCAAGCAGAAAGGATATAAACAAGCTTCCATGTCACTACCTTCGAGGATGCTTATTTAGGGGTTCTTTTAATGCCTCACTGTGATGGTTTATTTGCAAATGGCCTGGAAGCTGCTAACAATTTGTATTTCGTGATTTTCTGGAGCCTGGTGGTAGCCATGATCCCTATGGCATTGAGAGATCACCCAGCACAGTGTCTTATTATGACTCTGTGGGCAGCAGCTCCTTCCCAGGACCAAGAACCAAGACCCCACTCTGGGCTACTGCCCTCACAGGCAGGGGATAAGCAAGCTTGATGAAGACTACCCACTGGTGCCATCTTGGTGTGGACTGTGGGGTCGTCTCTCTGCCCCACCAGTACCCCAACACAGAAGCAGGTATGTTTAGTGGTATGTGTGACCAGCCATCTAGTCAGCCTAAGACTATGAAACTGCCAATTGCCTATACTGTAGTGAGGTAGCTAGCAACTGAGCTGTCCTCACTGCAAGACAGTTGGGCTCAAAATTCTATATCCTACCCTTGATCACCCTGTTTCCTTTCTCTCTAGCTGGAACTGAGTTCAAGGGAGCTGGGTTCAAATGTTCTTTCTTCCTGGAAAGCACAGGAATGTCCCTTAATTTATTTGTACTTCCAGAATAATGCCATCTCCAAAAGTAGCACTGCCTTCCCTGCCACATGCAATTATTTGGCATTCTGAGTAAATAAAGTGATAAACCCCAGTCTTTGTAGATAACTTACCAATTCGGAGGGATTAGATCAGCCCAGGCCAGGTCTCCACTGAGCTGTTCTTATCACAAGGTATTCTTTATTTCCTCACTGATATTCAACTATCTCAATGCCTTGAAATAAAAAAGGAGAATAGCTCAGATGCTTATGTGGAGAGAACCATCATTTTAGCCTGTTTTACCTGCTTTTCCTGGCTGAGGTCAGGAGGCCAGCCTGGCCCCAGCATTTGCTCTGGCCAGATGAGTCCTCTTGTCCTTCATCTCCTTCATCCTGCAGAAGCATGAGTTGTTGGGTCTCTCTGTGGCTTTTGGTTCCCTGACTTACTGGCTTGAATCATTTAAAGCCCTGCTTTTAGATGTCAGCCTTCAAGTAGAGTGAAGTCTCCATTTCTGCAGAGGGGTCAGAGTAGACTTAGTACCCCAAGTTTGACAAGCACTCCTACTGCTCTCCCCTGCCCAACACCCACCCAGATGGACCAGGGCTGCCACTGTCTGCTGCAAAGCACAGCCAAACCCCCGCAACAAGAAACAGTGGCAGGAACCAAGAGTCCCCTTCCCTCCTCAGCACATTAGATTTGAACTCTTCCTTCTGAAAAGCTGTTAGACACCTGTCATGTTTTTCTTCTCCCCATCTTTACAGAGTCCATCTCACAAATGTAGAAAATAACTTAATTTTAAAAATTGTGATCATAGTGAGAACATAGTTTTGAGGATCTGAACTTTTTTTTGCTAGCAAGTATATTCCCTTGATGGAGAAGGACAGAGAGAGAGAAATCACCCCTTAAGGGAGTTAACCACAATCCCGTCTCCTCCTTTCTCCTCTCAGGATTTTAGCCATGTACACACATGCATCTGGCCTGTTCCTCAAGCCAGCAGGTCCAATCCAGGACTTGAACTGCACAGTCAGTCATGTGAGAATCCAGCTGTCTTAACCACTATACTGCCACTGGCCCCTTGAAAACTCTTTAACATTCACGGTGGGCACTTGCTGTTTAGTGGAATCCTGGGAGAGTTTATTTTGAGAAGCCCAGGATCATTTTTGCAATCTCCCATAACTATCTGTCGTCTCAGCTGATATTTGGAGATAAGAGTTTTTTAAGCTGAACATGAAAAAGTATAGAAATGCTGAACACTCTCTGTGGCCTCAATGTACCAATTCAACCATGATACATCACGTCCAGTGTGAGGTCAAGGCTGGCCAGGGCAGCCTGGTGGGTAAACTCTAGGTGGGGGCAAGACCTCAGGGGTGAGGGCCAGTGTTAAATGTTACCAGATGAGGCAGGGAATGGACAGACTGTTCCAAGGGAGTATAGTGGATGTTTCTGCTCTGGTAGCTATGGCTTAGGAAAATAGAGCATTCACATCTGCCTTGTGATGACTCGAGTCACAGCTGTAAAATGCTAAACCGAGTTATATAGCGAATATTGCTGCCATTCTGAGAAGGGGCAAGCTTAGTGCTATTTAATTGGTGCTATTTAATTGGGGTGCAGTAGCTATTCCAAATAAGAGAACACACCTTCATTCATTCACCCATGAGACCTCATCCATCCACCAACCTCTCCAGGGGTACTGGAGACACAAAGATGAACTGAGACCCCAAGCCATGGTGGAGGCCAATGGTAAACACACACAACACAGAAGGTGTGTGTTGAAGGGAAAGGTTGCAAGTCTAAGTTACCACTGACCAGGGTCAACACCTCGAGAGGACATCTTTCTGGGACCAGGCCAGTGCCGCAAAGGTCTTGTGAAATGTGTCTTATGAGGAAGACACGTTTCACTGAGGCCTGAATGAGGCTGGAGAGGTAGTCAGGATAAGTGGGAGAACTTTCTAGCCTCCTGGGGTCTTCAGTGTGGGCATCCAGTTAGAGGGTCAATGACATGTGGCTCAGGATTATTGGCTTGGGATAGGGAGCCTGGATGTGTATTCATGATCACATATGTGTGCAGTCCCGGGGTGGCTGGCTCACCTGTTTGGCCTCATTCTTCCAGTTATCAAGCTAGATGTCCGTCCCACCATATGGTAATGCCTGGAGCTCTCTTAGCCTGCTCAGGGTCTCATGTGTTGAATTCTCAGCTTGTCTGTCTTCCCACTCCAAGGAAGAGACTCCTTTAAGCCCAGGGCCAGGAACAGGGCTCCATCACGGAGAGGCCTGATTCATGTGTGTGTGAGCTGATTGAGAGACTGATGGCCAGCAAAAAATGGAAAGAAAAAAGAGAAGGAGAGAGGTAGGGAGAGAAAAGAAGAGATTGACGTCTTCAGGTGAAATGCAACCTGTGAGAAATTTAAATATCCATTCAAATATGGTCTTATTTAGTGAAAACATTCAAGATATAGCTCCTTACTTAACAACAAACAAGTGATTAACTTGAAAATACAGCTCTGGTAAAAAAAGACTTTCGAGTTGTTTTTTTCATGGTTTTCCTTTCTTTGGAAATTAGCTGTGTGGTTAATCACACTCAAATCACATCAACTCAGAAAATTCACAGTGGGTCCCTAAGCACATCACTCCCGCTTGAATCATTTAAAGCCCTGCTTTTAGATGTCAGCCTTCAAGTAGAGTGAAGTCTCCATTTCTGCAGAGGGGTCAGAGTAGACTTAGTACCCCAAGTTTGACAAGCACTCCTACTGCTCTCCCCTGCCCAACACCCACCCAGATGGACCAGGGCTGCCACTGTCTGCTGCAAAGCACAGCCAAACCCCCGCAACAAGAAACAGTGGCAGGAACCAAGAGTCCCCTTCCCTCCTCAGCACATTAGATTTGAACTCTTCCTTCTGAAAAGCTGTTAGACACCTGTCATGTTTTTCTTCTCCCCATCTTTACAGAGTCCATCTCACAAATGTAGAAAATAACTTAATTTTAAAAATTGTGATCATAGTGAGAACATAGTTTTGAGGATCTGAACTTTTTTTTGCTAGCAAGTATATTCCCTTGATGGAGAAGGACAGAGAGAGAGAAATCACCCCTTAAGGGAGTTAACCACAATCCCGTCTCCTCCTTTCTCCTCTCAGGATTTTAGCCATGTACACACATGCATCTGGCCTGTTCCTCAAGCCAGCAGGTCCAATCCAGGACTTGAACTGCACAGTCAGTCATGTGAGAATCCAGCTGTCTTAACCACTATACTGCCACTGGCCCCTTGAAAACTCTTTAACATTCACGGTGGGCACTTGCTGTTTAGTGGAATCCTGGGAGAGTTTATTTTGAGAAGCCCAGGATCATTTTTGCAATCTCCCATAACTATCTGTCGTCTCAGCTGATATTTGGAGATAAGAGTTTTTTAAGCTGAACATGAAAAAGTATAGAAATGCTGAACACTCTCTGTGGCCTCAATGTACCAATTCAACCATGATACATCACGTCCAGTGTGAGGTCAAGGCTGGCCAGGGCAGCCTGGTGGGTAAACTCTAGGTGGGGGCAAGACCTCAGGGGTGAGGGCCAGTGTTAAATGTTACCAGATGAGGCAGGGAATGGACAGACTGTTCCAAGGGAGTATAGTGGATGTTTCTGCTCTGGTAGCTATGGCTTAGGAAAATAGAGCATTCACATCTGCCTTGTGATGACTCGAGTCACAGCTGTAAAATGCTAAACCGAGTTATATAGCGAATATTGCTGCCATTCTGAGAAGGGGCAAGCTTAGTGCTATTTAATTGGTGCTATTTAATTGGGGTGCAGTAGCTATTCCAAATAAGAGAACACACCTTCATTCATTCACCCATGAGACCTCATCCATCCACCAACCTCTCCAGGGGTACTGGAGACACAAAGATGAACTGAGACCCCAAGCCATGGTGGAGGCCAATGGTAAACACACACAACACAGAAGGTGTGTGTTGAAGGGAAAGGTTGCAAGTCTAAGTTACCACTGACCAGGGTCAACACCTCGAGAGGACATCTTTCTGGGACCAGGCCAGTGCCGCAAAGGTCTTGTGAAATGTGTCTTATGAGGAAGACACGTTTCACTGAGGCCTGAATGAGGCTGGAGAGGTAGTCAGGATAAGTGGGAGAACTTTCTAGCCTCCTGGGGTCTTCAGTGTGGGCATCCAGTTAGAGGGTCAATGACATGTGGCTCAGGATTATTGGCTTGGGATAGGGAGCCTGGATGTGTATTCATGATCACATATGTGTGCAGTCCCGGGGTGGCTGGCTCACCTGTTTGGCCTCATTCTTCCAGTTATCAAGCTAGATGTCCGTCCCACCATATGGTAATGCCTGGAGCTCTCTTAGCCTGCTCAGGGTCTCATGTGTTGAATTCTCAGCTTGTCTGTCTTCCCACTCCAAGGAAGAGACTCCTTTAAGCCCAGGGCCAGGAACAGGGCTCCATCACGGAGAGGCCTGATTCATGTGTGTGTGAGCTGATTGAGAGACTGATGGCCAGCAAAAAATGGAAAGAAAAAAGAGAAGGAGAGAGGTAGGGAGAGAAAAGAAGAGATTGACGTCTTCAGGTGAAATGCAACCTGTGAGAAATTTAAATATCCATTCAAATATGGTCTTATTTAGTGAAAACATTCAAGATATAGCTCCTTACTTAACAACAAACAAGTGATTAACTTGAAAATACAGCTCTGGTAAAAAAAGACTTTCGAGTTGTTTTTTTCATGGTTTTCCTTTCTTTGGAAATTAGCTGTGTGGTTAATCACACTCAAATCACATCAACTCAGAAAATTCACAGTGGGTCCCTAAGCACATCACTCCCCTCCTACAGGTATGAGGAAACTGAGAAACAGTGCATTGGTGGGCCACCCACCCCTCCCATGCAGTGGTGCCCAGTACGTATGGCCTGGGCAGAAGAAAGGCTTCCATGCACATGCTCTGATATTCTCACCTGCCCTCATCACTCGTCTGTGGGGACAGCCAGGGCTCTTGGCAGGCCGCGGTCCAGCATCTTTTCTGGGGCACATTTTATACTCCATGGAGCATTTCCATAGATCATGTGCAGAGAATGGAGTGTCCAGAATGGTTCTTGACAGAGCGGTGAGAGAGAGTGAAACAAACATCGACATCCTCACCCCGAAAGAGTTTTCAGAGACAATTACCGATAAATCAGAAGGATGCGCCTGGTATGAATTCAGCTGATTAAGGTGGTTAAATTGTTTTTCCCTTGCCAAAGGGTTGCCCGATTAACTGAACAAGCAATTTGTTGTACCTAAAATACCTATTTTCTGATTTAATGGCAAGGAGAGTAGAACCTCGCACAACCCGAACAAGTAAGAGCTGAGCCACAAGACCTGGGCAAGCAGAAAGTATTCCTGGGAGCATTATGCCCATCAGCAGGATGCGTATGGCTGGTTAAGTGGGACCGGCATCTGGCATTCTCTCCCCTTTATTCCAGGCAGGTGAAGTGCAGACAAGATACAAAATGGGGATGGAGATCTGGAAGACCTGGGGCTTGGTTTCAGCTCTTTTTATGGGACTTTGAGCATAGGTATCCTCAACTATGAAACATGGATTGCTGGACTGACTGTTGCTCCCCAAAAGTTCTGAGCATCCAGTGTGAGCAGAGTGTGAGTATCCTTTCCAAGCTGTATAGCACTTGGCAGAGGTGAAGGATGGCCCTACTCACCTGAGGCCGGAAAAGATCAGGAGAGGCGGAGAAAGCAGGCCTGTGGGATAAAGCCGTGCTTCGTAGCAGAACCGCCCTCTCTCGTAGGTGCACATCTGGCAAGGGGATGAAAGCCTGGCAGAGACAAATTCAGGAAGAGGTTCATTCTCTTGGTTTTGAAGAAGAGGGATCTACCAAGCTGCTTGACCCAGGTGAGCATCCAGATTTCATCAGTGCCCCAAGTTATGACCCCTCCCCATCTCTTTGCACATGTAGGCATTGGATGCATACCTGGCCAGTTGATGGATATATTTCCTGCTCTCTGACAAAGACATACAAGAATGTGACCTTTTCCTCCAGGGAAAGGGTGTCCAGGGTGGGGCCATACCACTACCCAGGTCAGAAAGTACTCTCAGTTTCCTCTAGGTTGGGCTGTACCCGGTGAGGCCATATAGAAGTTTTTGGTACCCTTTGTTGTCTCCATGACCTGTCTCCTCAGCAAGGCTATTTACCATCCTCCTATCACCTCAGAGGTTTGAGAAGCTGAGCTGGGTCTGCAGAGTTGTTCCCTGCCTTCAACGTGTGGCCTCTCATTTTAAGGCTGGCAACAGCTGCTGGCAGCCCCCATGGTTATATTACTTGCCAGAGTCTAGGTCTGAGCCCCAACTCACCCCCTTCTGCATGTACTCAGGTTACCTCTCCCCGTTTTACAGAGGAGGAAACTGAGGTACAAGGTGTCAAGGTGTCCTCCATCATGGTTGCAAGGAGTGATTGAACTACTGGATGTAAGAACCCAGCTTGTTTCTGCCTCAATCCAGCTCTCAGTGACCACTGAGAGGAGCTCTCCTTGCACCCCAAGAATAAATGGGCCTGGGATCTGCCTCAGGTGGCCCCATCTGCCCCAAGGCTGGCAACAGAAGGTCCCCGCCACCTGCCTTCCTTGGCAGCCCTCCTGACTTCACTTGGGCCATCTTGAGTGAATGCCACATATCAAGCTTCCACATTCCTTTTGCACTCCCAGATCCTTTCCTCATAAACTCCTATCTGGAATTCTAGACCTACAGCTCCTCCATGTAGCCTTCCAGGCTTACACAAGCAGAGATGAGTCTATTCCAGCATGTTAGCTGACCTCCTTCTGCGTCTTGTCAGTAAAAGTGTCTGTTCCCTTAGGTGGACTGTGAGCTCCTGGTTCATTCATTCATCCTCAACCAGCTATCCATGCATTCATTTACTCTATTGATGTTCATTAAGGATAAGAGTCAGGCCTGGTGCTCCATATTGGGATTTGAGAGGAGTGACAGTGTCGGCTAGTTTCCAGATCCAGCCCTTGCCATTGTAGCTGCCTCATAAATGGTTATTGAATAATTACATAAAGATAAAAATTAATAAGCAGAGTGAACATTCTTATTAAAGTGTAATTAATATTAAGTGAGAATTCAGCTTCATTGGTGCTCATCTTGGCTACACTCTGTTTTTGTTTTTCATTTTTTTAGGTTTATTTATTTATTTATTTTTGCCATAGGACACATGTGCTTGCTAGGGAGAGACAGACAGAGG